TCAACCCCTCACACCCCCCATCTTCCATATTCTATAGTTCTTAAATTCTGTTTAAGGACCTTCAAAGCATCTCTAGATTCTACCCTATTCTCTTCACGTCTTCCATTGGACTGTTGTGAAAGCTTCCTACTGTTCCCCTGGCTCTTGTCTCTCCCTGTTAAATCTATTCTCAAAATGCTGCCAATTTTAAGAAAAAAAGAGAGAACTTTCATAACCCAATCTACTTACAGAATTTTGATAGCTTCTAGTTGCCTAGAGAACATAGCTCAAATCATCATAACCCACATTCATGATTGTCAGGATCTGGCCCAGTGGTCCCGCCCTGTTTCATCTCCTGCATTCTGCATACTCCCAATGCAGTCTCCTCTGCCTCAAACATCTTTTCTATTCTTCTGTACTCAACAAGTTCTAATCAGGAAAATCATTAATTCCTCCATGAAATCTTTCCAGGCTACTCAGCCTAAATATATCTTCTGTGCTTCTATTTTCCATGGTATCTATTATACTAATGCAACAGTTAAGGCATTATGTTATAATGTTATAGGTGGTTATATATGTTTGTCTTCCAAGTAGATTATTTGTGTTTGAGGGTTGGGGACACGGCTTTATTTATATTTGTAATCCAGGCACCTAACTGCAGTGGGTATAACTTAAATCCTTCTAAATTAGCATATACAACTTTATTTGCAACATACAGCCATGACATCTGAAACAGGTAAATGCAAAAAAAAAATTAGTTGGACAGAGTCCACAATTTTCAGTAAGCCAAAAGCACAAGATTAAGTACAACACAGTATGCAAGTCTAGAGTAACAATACCCAAAGATTTAAAATATTAAAAAATAGTAAATTACCAGGCCCAGATGATGTTATTGGCCAACATTTTAAAATGAGATGGAGACACACTGCCTGGACTTTTTGCTATCATATATTAAGAACTTATTAAGAACTTAATATACATGAAGTAGTGTTTTAGATGCAGTACCTCATTTTATCACAATAACAATATAGAATTCATATTGAGTACTCAATATATGCCAGGCCCTGTTCTGAATGCTTTCCTGTATTAACATATATAATCATCACACCGATGATATGAGATAGGTATTATAATCACATATACTTCAAAAATGAAGAAATTGGGCCTCAAATAGGTTAACTTACCCGAGTTTCCCACCTGTGTACCCCTTTTGTAAATAGCTGGGCAGGGATATAAAACTCCCTATGTGGTAACAAAGCAATCCTCTCTTGGCTTTATAACCATGAGCTGGCCATTCTCAAAGAATTTCATGTCCCCCCAGATGTTCAAAGAACCATGAAAAGAGAAAAAAATGAACTCTTCATACATTTTCCAGAAAACCATCCTTATAAAACTAAAAGTTCTCAGGGCAACACAACAACAAAGGCTATAAATATGAGCTAATTCTCCCATGTAGAGAGCAGACTGTCATCATGCATTAAATACAAGGTAGGAAGTATAGGCAATAAGGCACATCTGTTCTTTCAGGTGTACATATAATGAATGGGCAAGATACTATCGAATTACAAAGATACTTACATAAGCATATAAGAACACATATATATTCCAAATATGTATATATGCAGCTCCTGATTTATGAGAAGCAGGACTGCTATGAGCCCTTGCGGACATTCTGTGACCTAGAAAACTACCTTCCCCCAGGAAGACCCAGACAAGAGCAAAGGGCCATGGCTTGGCTGGTGGGACATGGTAAAGGTTTCAGTCCTCACTTGCCCCTCAGTTGGCCACCCCTATGAAGTGAACAACCTGATGCCCCTGTGGAGCAGTGATGTTTTCTCTCATGCCCTAAAGCCACAGGGCCTAGATTTGAATTCTGTTTTATCCTGTGTAGATGTGTGACTTTAGTCAAGTTTTAAAATTTCTCTCTGCTTTATTTTTCCTATCAGAAAATGGGGAGAATATTAATAGGAAATAAATAGATTTGTTCAAAGAATTTGAAAGAAAAAAAAGGTCTGTATATACATATATATGTATACGTAATTAATATTCCTAAACAGCTTCTCCAGTTGTAAGAACAACCATATTAGAAGCATTCCTTATACCTGTGTATGAGCCAATATATGTCAATAGGTGAAAGTTCCTATGGGGAGAGTGGAGAGAAGTGATTCTACAAGGATTTTTCATTGTACATCAAGTTATTTTGTTTACATCTATAGCTTCTTAAGAATCCAAAGCTACCTACTTCACTTAAAACTGTGCTTTTCCCAGGAATATGAATTCTCTTTTATGAAGGTGGCAAACATGAAAGTCAAGAGCAAAAAAATCACCACAGCAATGACTAAGTACACCATAGTCACATGTTGGTAGCATAGAAATTCTCCCCTATCATGTACCAGCACCTCCAGACATTCGGTTAGTGGGTAGATAGTAACTAATGCAGTGGAATCTTTTACAAGCTCAAAATAAGATGTCATTCTGAAATACTTAAATTCTCATTCCACTTTATTATATTTTTAAAACAAAAGTCTCAAACTCCCCAACTCATATATTCCAGGACTGGTTTACATAATTTACAAATATGAAACTCCAGCAATGAGAAATTAATTTTTCAACAATCGAATTGGCAACATTTTCAGTACATCATTCTTCTCCAGTGTTGGCAAGAGCATGGTAAACATACCACAGGTACTTAGGAAGTCTCTTTGCAATATCTACCGAATTTAAAATGAACATCCCTTTGCAGCCAGCAATTCTCTTTTCAAAATAAATCTTCTGCAATATGATTGCAAAGATAATGTACACAGATATTCACTGTATCACTTTTTGCAATAGTAAAAATTAGAAAATCCAAGTGAATATTCTGGGGGATACTGGGTGGCTACATTGGGCAGGCACATAAAAAAAGCATTTTCATATACTGACAGAAACATATTTGAAAAATATTAAATGAAAAATAAATTTCAGAACACTGGAAATTATATGACCCAATTGAACAAATGAAGCAATGAACCATTTATCCAATTTTTTGAAATAATGAAAGAAAAATTCCTGTGGTTATACAAAATGGAGACTGGAGGGACACAAACCCAACCAAAAATGGTAGTTACACAGATGGAGTGGAATAGGAAAGGAAGTTCACTTTATAAAGTATAATTTTCATATTTCTTTATAAGAAGTATAGCTGACCCTTGAACAACTCAGGGTTAGGGGCGGTAACCTCTAAGCAGTCGAAAATCCACATATAACTTTCCTCCCCAAAAACTTAACTACTGTTGGCCAAAAGCCTAATCAATAACACATACAGTCAATTAACACATATGTTGTATGTTATATGTATTACACGCTGTATTCTTACAAGAAAGTGAGCTAGAGAAAGAAAATGTTTTTTTCAGATTTATACAAATCTCCAAAAATTTTTCTAATATAGTTATTGAAATAAAATCTACAAATAAGTGGATCCACTCTGTTCAAAACCTTGTTCATGGGTCAACTGTATTACTTTTAGAATTAAAAGAAATAAGAATTTCCAAAAGAAACAGGACACTCAAAAATAAAATTATTTGCATGGGGGTATTTAAAAACATCTTAATTCCCAAAGTTAATTTGCACTGTCTCATACGCTTATAATCCTAATTGCAGAATAAAATGCTCATGAGTCTTAGCAGACACGCTCTAATAAAAGAGTTGTACTACCTTCATAAAGCATGTTGAGAAAAATTCTGTATTTCTAGGCCCTAAAGTGGAGTATAGGAGGAATGAGGAGAGAAGAGAAATGGCTCTCAATTTCCACTCCACAGTGAAAAGTGAAAAATGAGTAGTTTACCACCACTCTGCCACCTCCCTCTCCTCCACACCCTCCCCCAAATGGTAGGAGAAAGGAGTCCAACCCTGCTTGGCCACTGACTTCAAACACAAAGTACACAGATCAGGCGGTTTGACTGACAATGTGTGCAGAAGATGAAAACGGAGGTATGAAGAGAGGGTGGAGACAGCAGGATTATTATGGAAAAATGGTGAAAACTGGAGAGGAAGTATATTTTAGTGATGAATAAATGCTTGTTAAGAGAGAACTTATATGCAAAAGAAATGGGAAAGGGTGGGAAAGTAACAAAATAAAAATGGAATGTTGCCATCAAGGAGTTTTTTAGTTTTCAGGACATGGCATCAAGTTTAGAGCTTTTGCATTCTGTACTCTCTAGCCCTTGCCATCAAGTGAAAGCTTACAGATTGCTTGCATGTTGGAGAGGGGTCCTTTGCCTGTTTTGAGCAAGACTTAGAAGCTCAGCTCATCAGGTATTAAGCACATATCATATTCAATTCAAAGGTCTGATCACGTGCTGGCTTATTCCCGTTAGACATGGAATGATTATTGCTTTAACTGGCACATTGTTTCAACAAGCTTCCAAAGGGCATTTAATCCCAAAGGAAGCTAAAATGGTTTAAATAGAATTAAAAATTTGTATGCATTATATATATAAAACTATACATATAATACATATATTGGTACTATATTTTTTTTCACATAATCTCCCCAGCATCACCTATGTCCACTCCCAAATGTCCTTATAAGAACTGACATAAGCTGAGACTGGTGCAGAGGCCTTGAGGTGATACCCCAAGACCAAGCACCTCCCTACAAACCGCCACGATCCTTAGATATCCACAAGCCCTGGCCTTGTCCCAGGCCACAAAAAAGCTCCACCAGAGCCCCCAGGGACCTGGCAACCACGTGACCCGCCGGCAGACACTGAAGCCTTCTTTCCCAAACAAATCCAACTTTTATTTCACTTTTCTTGGGTGAACGTTTGCGCATGCCCTCCACTGCCTCTCCTCTTTTTTCCTCCTCCCTCCACCACAGGCTGTGAGAGACCTCGAGGTATCTGCTCTCAACCCTGGCTGGCCTAGGGGTCCTAAGGTTCAGCCCCTCCCGGCGGGCGCCCCTCCTGCTCCAACGCGGTACCGGCCAGGAGAGCGAGACGCCGGCTCAGCCCTGCGCGCCGGGCGTGGGCGCCGAAACTTACCTGCGGAGGCGCTGCCGGAGCTCCCGCGTCGCAGTCAGCTGCGCGGCGGCCGCCGCATCCCCCAGCAGCAGGGTCCCCCCACCCACCCAGCTGCGGTGTCCTGTGCAGGACTTTTCCGAGCCTGGGAAGTTGGCGGAAAGAGGAGGTGGTAGCTGGGGGTGGGGCTGGGTGATGTGGAAGCGGACGCTTAAGGATTTTGTTGTTTGTTTGTTTGTTTGTTTTTCCCGATCTCTAGCGAAGACTTTAGACCATATGCTGGAGAATATAAGCTTTGCTCAATGGCGACAGGGCAGCAGCCTCTCACAGTCCGATCGATTTACTAAACAAACTTAAACGTGGGTGGGGATGTTAAACAGTAACCAGCAGCTTCAATGAAAACTGAAAGCAGCGAGGCCGCCACCGCCTTGGCGCGCTCATTTCCCTGTTCCCAAGGGCCCAGGGCGACTCTCAGGAGGGCCAGCAAGTCCCCAGCCCCGGCGTCCGTTGACTTTAGCGGCTCTCCTGGGTCTCCCGGAGGCCGCCAGGCGGTAACTGCTGCACGCCACATGCCTAATTTTGCACCATCCGGGAGAACCGCTCCTGGGGTATTTGGGGCAAGAGTCATCTCTCGGCCGCCTCCCGCACCCCGGAGAGCCCCGCCAGGACCCACGGCCTGAGGCCGAGCGTGGCCCCCGCAACGCGGGCACCGTCCCCCGCCCCTGGTCACGCTTCGTTTAGGGCGGTGTCAATCCTGGGGCAGTGCGTTTGGACAGGAGGCGGCGGAGAGAAGTCGGCTGACCCCAGAAAGCAGATATAATTACGAGCCAATGAGGTACAGAAAAGGGCCGGAAGGGAACTGAATAGGTTCCTAGGGACAGCACTGCAGCCACACCACTAGGGGAAGCCGCAATTACGTCATTAAACTGCACCTTGGCCGCTGGGGTTAGTTAACTTTTGCCCTGACGCTTGTGGTCATCTTTGCTCTGCAGGAGTTATGGACAGATGAGGGAGACTAAGTTTTCCTTCCCCGGCCAACCCAGCCACCTGTGGCTCAGTCATTAAGTGCCTTTTTACATATGCATCTGATGGAAAGCTTCTTTTCTCCTTCCCATACCCTAGGCGCCTTCTCAAGCTTTAAAGACTTCGGGAAACGAAGCTCAGACGCATCTGAGACGCTCTGGTCATCTGGATCAAGCTTTGGTTTAACCAAGCAATAGAGCCAGAAGCTGTGGCTTTTAAAAACATCTCAACAATTTAACTTCATGGTTTCAGGAATGAATGACTTCAGGTCAAACAAGTAATTATCCTCATGAGATAAATAGTCACCTAATCCATACGGTTTTTCTTTTCCGACCAGGGGGTTGGAGGTTATTTTAAGACTGTAATAACAATGACAGGGAGATCAAAGGGCTAGGTATTTTCCCTTTTTCTTTTTAGATCGGGTTTACTAAACTTTCTCAGTTTCCTCCTTCCGAATCTCTTGCTGAAAGGCTCTTTTAAAAACAAGTAGTTGGTTGTTTTAGAAATCAGAACAAAGGGGAGAGATCATATACTATTTTCTTTAAATCGACCTTCTCAAGCAAAACACATTCCTCGTTGCCCACGCAGTCTGAAAACCGTGTCACGAAAGCGGACGCTGTCCAAGTCGGCTCCAAGAAACCGTCCGGAGACAGCTGAGGCCGAAGAGCAACAATTAACGGGTTATGTTTATTATGCAATTCATAGGCGTGTTGTTTAAAGATCGTCTATAGACACTCTCTTTAAAATTACTTCCAGATGCCTGGATAGTGAAGGTTGTCTTACTGTATACCAAAATATATAGTTCCCATGAAACAGTCTGAAGAGAGAAATTCACCATCCCCATTCACGAAAGCGTTAATGTCACCTGACATCGAGACACAATAGTTTAGTTCAATAATCTCAGTTTATTTCAGTTAACAAATCGAGTTGGCAGTGGGTTTGGTTTAAGATGATCAGTTCATCATAGATGTGTGGTAGATGCCTTGATCGACCAGGAAATGGTCATCACATGTTTTGTGTTCAAAACTTTTGATTCAATACATGGAATCTTTGCCAGAGAATTTTATTACAAGGATTTTGAGTAAAAATGAGAGAAATGGCAGTACATTCAAGGAAGTAGAAACTCTGTTAAGTCTCTAACTTATTATCTAAAGGACGTATTGCATTTGTTAGGTTTAGAAAAATCTTTAGTCTAATACTGCCAGTCCTCCCACCTTCGCTGCAAGGAGTGGCTTCAGATGACTAAATAAATAAATAAATGGCATTAAGAGCTAAAGGAATGTATGAAGAGTTGGCTCTGCTGTGTGTGGGCTTGGCAGTTTTTACTAGATCAATGACAACTGATCAGGCTTTAGAGCATCACTTACATTGTTCCTGAAATTAATTTATTACGATTCTTCACGACATGGATTTATGATGCTGGAAATGGAAACTGTGCTGTGTGGAGAGCTGTCTCCTGAATGCAGTGGAGGAGCGGGGGGTACACAAGAAGTAAGAACCCAGAAAAATTTTTTTTAGGGAAGGGTTCTCAGAAGATACAAAGTTGTTTAAATAGTGTTTAGGGGACCATTATACACATATGTATTTATGATACATCGACTCTTTTAACCTAAAACTAAACACAGAAAATGTGACGTCAAAAATCCCTTCACTTTCTGGTTAAATCTGGTTAAGTGTCACATTCAGCCTTTGCTTTTCCTTTCCACTTTAATCATCTTCTTCACATCATTTTTTATTTTCTTGCCAATACTACCAGATAGTTTGATAAGAACTCCGGGTCTTCCCACAAGCAGTTCTGATACGATTAATTAAAAGAGTGGCCTGGGGCAGAGCGCTCCGGAGGTGAGAATGCTCAGGCGGGCGTGCGGAAGCTCCACAGGAAAAATCTTCCAGATTTAAGGACCCAGAGACCCTATTCCGAGGGCAACTGCACGCCCCTCGCCCTGTATATAAAAACCATCCCAAGACGCGAACGAGAAAAGCCCTCATCCTGCCGAGGCGATTCACCTCTGCTGACCTGGCAAGCGCGGGGTCCTGGGCGATCTCAGGGGCGCCTACACTGAAACCGGCCACCGCTCCAAGCGGGCACAATCAGTGGGGACTTCCCCAACCGCAAGCAGGTATACACCAAAGGAAAAAACGGGTGGTGGGGGGGATTAAAAACCTACAATTCGTGTTCACCTGCCAGTCCTTTCTGTATTTGGGCAAAGTCTACTGGCCCCTTCCAAGTCACTCGTATGGAAAGAAGGGAAAAGGCCACAGGGACTAGGGTGAAATGAGGAGTCTGGAGCTGCTCTAAGCGCGACTGCCACCTCAAATGTTGGGGCAGTGTCTGACCCTGGGGGCACAACAACGGGTAAAGCAGCCTCTGCCAGAATTTCTAAAACTCCCTCGAGGCCACTGAAACGTTTTATGCATCAAAAAGGGAGGCCTGGATTCGGGTCGTTGGGACTGGGAGCGGGAAAGGGGTTCTACCAGCAGAGTAGGGGCGGGGGAGGGGGCGGGAACAACTTGAAACGGGAGAGGGGTTCTGCCAGCAGGGTAGAGCCGGCCCGCGGGGGCTTTTTATTTGATTGCAGCTCACTACTTCTTCGGTCACGTCTATTTCAGAGAAAGCACAGTCCTTTTGCTCTGTAGCGCAGCCTAAACCGAGGGCACAAATTTCCGGAGATATAAGGCTGCAGACTCCCGCCCCTGGTAGGGGGATGTCAAGCTATTTCATCTCCAGCCCTGCACAGCAGCCCCCCGCGAGGTCTGTCTCTCCCGCCTGGAGCCGTGCCGAGCTGTGATTCGGATCCCAGGCTTTGGTACTGTCTACTGTTTGATTTGTCGGATCTTTTCACGGGGAACCTACCTCTAAGGCCTTTAATTTAACGTAGTAAAAGAAAACAAAACAGAACACAGTAAAAACAGGCAGAATGAATAGGAAGGAGCGACTCATTAGCATTCCTTTAGCACCACACCGCCACCATCACCTGCAGATCCTAAAAAGTAACATCCAGAAGCCGCCTGGCCCTTCTGGGGAATCAGACGCTTAAAAACACGTATGACAATCTCCAGGCATGACCTACAGGACTAGGCACTCTGCTTGACCACACACTGACTCAGATAAAAACTAGTCTTTATTTTATGCTCAAGTCATAGCTCTGGAGCACCCAGAGTAAGCCCACATGAGTAAGGCTACAGGAATGTCCCTAGACTACCTTACCTGCTAATATAAACGTACAACCAAGATTTCAGATTAAGCATGTAAATTGAAACTGCTCTGCATATGTTACACATCTGGCTGAGACACTGAAAACTGAACATTCAATAATTCTGTATGTCAGCGTATGGTTCCTGTGCCAAAAAAGCAAACTGCAAGGTTGGATGTCTTTCCCCCACCCCTTCTCTCTGTAGATTTCTTGCTGAAGTATTGATTGCCAAGATCTCTGCAAGATTTTCAAACTTTTACAGTCATTTATGGTGCATGCAATAAAAAGGTGATATGAGCATGCTAGTTCAAGGTGTAATGCAAAGATGTATTTGGTGTCCTTGGCAACTATCTGTGGGACCTGTTTGTCTTTGTAGAACACACCCTTCTCTGCAATGAACCCCTCTGTTATAAAGATTGGCCCTTTACATTTCCAAGGACTTGTCCCTTCATAGAAAAGGCACATATGTTCAAACCAGAAAATTCAATTATTTCAACCTCATTTTAAACCAGGAAAAAATATTGTAGTCCAAACTGTGGGGAAAAAAAAGAAAAAAGAAAAAATATTTTTTAAAGTTCCCTAGTTCACTACTGTCTTTGTCATAAAGGAAAAAAGAAAAAAAAAGGAAATTGATTACCAAGTTATAAAATAATCTCTTACTGCTCTTGCCTAATAGGGATCCACAGGACCTTCCACCATGAGAAAATAAATGGAGTGAGATTATAAAGACAACAGAGCATTACAGACTGTAGTGCTCAAAGGAGAAAGAAAAAAAAATTTTGAATGCTTTATGTGAAAATACATGGCTAATTAAATACAGATTTGTTGCCAAATTTTACTTTTACAATTTTTCAGTAGAGAAAATACTCCAGAGGGCTGTTGTTTTTCTCTATAATTGTAGATAGAAACTAAAAGTCTTATTAGAAATAGAAACCCTATACAACTTTACCAATTTTACCAGTCCTTTTTTTTTTTTAAGGCTATGTTTGGAGATTGAGGGGGAGAAAGAAAAAGAGACTCGTTTCTAAAATTTCCTACTTTGAACCAAATCGGTTTTCTCATCTAGTGCTACAAATAATAGCTGACATATTGCTTCTGAAAGGCATTCAGAATCCTATACCTGCCA